CACCCAGCCTGCACCGGAGCTCCTGACCCAGCCGCCGGTGCTCCGGATTCAGCTTTTCTGCAGCTGCGGATCTCACCCTCCGGAGCCAGCGCAAAAACATCTGGTCTCAGCCCCTCTCTTTTAAATTGTCATCAGTTTTATTCGCGATTTTCTTTTCAGTGACCGGGACTGGGAACACAGAGCTGCATGGACACGTTTGTACACCGACACACACCAAGTTACCTGTCTCTACAAACGCGTATTCTGCACCTCCCACCGCAACAGAAGCCACGGCACAGGCTGCTCAAGCGATGTCCACCGGGGCAGGAGGTAACATCATGCCCGGTATTGCTGCTACCCAGTGTGGGCTTTTTGTATCCCTAGTGTTTCTGGTACTTGGTATTACTGCTATTTGTCTTTGATTTTTGCGAACTGGCTGGAGGGCACACAGGCAGGGCAAAAGCCTTCCCGCCTAATCACCGGACCTTGCAGATAACATACCAACAGAAGGCACTCACCAATCACAAGAAGAGACCGCCCATCACAGCAAGACTGACCCAAAACAGTGATTATTGCTTGCTGGTTTCAATAGCCTTTGTTACTGGCAGTTCAAAACCTTTCCTGTTTCTCATTCTCAATGTCTCACATCTAAGTCATCCTTTGTTCTCTGCCTCCCCTGTCTCTGTATAAAATGTTGCCTCTTATGACTTATAGCTCATCTCATGTTGCCATCTCTGGTTTTTTTGGTGTAAAACGTTGCTCGATGCCACTTGCCCCTCCATCTTAACCATGTAGCTCCCCAGATTGCAGAGCCTGACAATTTTTGTGAGGAACCATTCATGTGTGGGAAAAGAGGGGGGAGATGACAGCAGCTCACTACTGCCTACTGCAGGTCTACAACTCACCTAATACATGGTACGAGACACGGGTCAGATTAAGAGAGGTGAAGCATACCTCTAGCTCCAGGGCACAACCCCAGCATCTCTCCACCACCATCAACCCAGATCAGCCTGTCACCCATCTGGCCAACTCCTTGCACTTCGCACAGAGGTCACAGAGTAAGGTAAAAGCTGGTGTGCTGAGCCGAATATATGCAAGATCAATGCTGTGAGGCTTTCACCAATCCCAGAATGCACGGGAGGGAACAGTGTGCCCATGCTGGTCACTGCTGCCAGAAAATCTCTCTCTCTGTGAAGATTTCTGTAGTGGTTCCATAATTGCAGACACAACCACACAAGACTGGTAATTCTTGGGGCCTGTGACAAGTCAGCTTGTCCCCAAATAGTCTGGCAACAAAACTGCTACTTTAATCAGCAATTAACATGGAATAAATTAGCAACTCAGAGTGCATAGTATGAAAACCAAGAAGTCACTTCTTGATAAAAGTACAGCTGGATGTAACTAGCTACAGTAGCAGTATAAAAAACATAAAATTGGGAGATAAAATACCAGTCAGAAACACAACGAAGCTGCAGAAAAAGGGAAATCTCATTCTGAGACAGAGTAGCAATATTCTGAGAGGTAATTACTCAGTTCTGTTCTGTTTTATCCAGGACAAACAATATCTCAGGTGAGCTCCTGAGGTGTCCAGAAAACAGGAATAAAAATTACACGAGGAAGAAAATACACCAGATCAGGAAGGACTGAAATAACTATGTTTAGTTCAGAAAACTACACTGCCAAGAATCATTTTAACTGACTTTGTCTTTTGGTTATTGTAAAGGATGGCCATAATTGTTTCCTGTGTCCTCTAGAGGAGGATGAGCGGAAATAAAGTTACTTTCCAACAGAGATTATTTCAGCTGGATGACAAGGAAAATGTTCTTAATATCAAAGAATAAAAATACACATCGTTCTCCCTCACTACAGGTTTTAACAAACAGACCAAAAAATGATCAGGCTTGACTTTGGATACAGCTGTGTCTAATATGCACAGCACACTGGCATACAGCAAGTCGACCAAAAAAATCATTTTAAAGTCCCATTTAGGCCAACATTTCAATGGTTCCCTGTTATTCATTTAGAGGAGAATATGCTCTGATATAATACTAATTCTGATATTTTGCAAAACTTTGTAAGATTACTGTTTCAGAAATAATTTTTCAAGTGACAAAGGGAATCTGTAGCATAAGGCAGTGTGGTGGAGAAAGATCAGCACAGTGGAATCCAGCATAGCCTACATACCAGTATCTCACTGTAGATGGTATGAGTAGGAGAACAATTTTTGCTCAATATTGAGAATGTCAGGAGTAGTTATAATTGCTTAATACCGTACAAAGCAATGCCACTTGAGTATCAAGGTATAGTATTTTATAAAGAACATGCAAGGCGCACTACGACTTACATTCCTACAGTACCCAGGTGTTTGTTTTTGGATTGTTGTTGGGTTTTTTTTAAATACTATGGGTGGAGCAGTAAAACAAAAAGAGGAGGATGCACAGATAGATTAATTCAGGGCTTCTCCAGAAACCAGAGCAGGCACGGAAAGGGCAGCACTGGGCAGCACTCAGAGAACAACCTAAACAGGCCAGAAGCAGCAGGGAAAACAAGCCCACAGTATGTCTTGGGTCATTCTTAGATACGCAATGTGCAGACCCTGTTTCCATAGTCTTCCAAACATAACAAGTTCTGGGCACCCTGCTGCTCTCCTGCTTACCCAGGAGTTGACAAGGATGCAGCAGCTGTGCACAGTTTGTAAGATCCACATATTTTCAGAACTCAAAAACTGTTACCAGTAGAACATCTCTGTTCTACAGGCTGGAAAACGACACACAGAAATGTTGGGAAATGAGCCAACAGAGCTAAAAGTGAAACAAGTTCCCGATTTCTGACCTAGAAACTGAGCAGCGCGGCCTTCCTCTGTCCTGCTTTCCCGTGGCTGGCATGGGAATTAAAGATAGATGGAGGAAGCAGACAACTGCCAGGTTTCTCAGCTGTGCAGGTAGACCTGCAGGGAGCTTGTGTAAGATTCAGATTTTATCAAAAAGAGCTGATCCAAATGACACCAAAAAACCCTACTTCTATCTTCAAACTCTTGGGAGAATCTACAGCTGAAGCTCTTGTAGCTTTTATCACGCACATTAGAATCAAACATTTTCAAAAGTGCTCACTGATTTTGAGTGACTCCACTTTGAAATAAGCATCTGTTCTTCCAAATTAATGATACTCGATAGATCTGTAAAAATGCCCCAGGACTGAGTAGCACTGGACATCAGATTTTGAAGCATCCAAATATCAAGATTGCATGTATTAGCCTGCATGTATATACAAATCACAGTTCATACAAATGATAGAAGACTTTTGTGTACTTGATTAGGAACCATTCATTTTCCAGAGATACTAACAATACCTGATTTTTAAAACACTTCTCTGTGGCAGTAAATGTATGAAATACTGCTAAGATATTTACTTTCCGCTGTAAACAATTACAGCAGAAGCATCACTGCACACTGTTATTCAGCTGGTTGGTTGAACACATTCTTTTTTCCTTGCATTTCTGTTTCTAACTCAGCTTGGTATGAACAGAGACACATTTCTCACAAATGAAAATGTCATCGATTCCAGCGGTGCTGAGCCTGCTACTCACTGCCAAACACCAGGAATGTGACCCATAGCACTTTCTTTCAGCTACATGTGCACCAAAATCATTGATTTAATTTGTCAGAAAATATATAAGCACAGGATTACTTGATGCAACCCTACAATAACTCCAAGCATAGCCTTTTTTCCCCACACAGATTAAAGGGCAGTATGTGTCCTTTCAACCCTCAGAAACCTACCATCCTCACAAGATATTCCAGGAATTAAAATTCTCCTGTGAAAACCTACATGCCTTTGTAAAAACATTTCACCTGCCCCAAATTAATCTCTTTTCTTCCATCCGTCAGCTGTGTCAGCAACATCTTCTGAGTCCCTTTGGGGCCAGAAGACAGCAAGGCACATGGAGTCTTTCTGCACATTACCTTCTTTGGCACAATCAGTGCTGCCAATCTCACAAACGCCAGCTGAAAAATCATGAAATGACCTCAAACAAAGTGGTCAACACAAGAAAATGGCCCTTTCTCCATCTTGTTTTGAGCTTGGGTCAGGAAGTAATAATCCTGTCTGTATCCAGGTGCCTTCCTTGGAACAGGGAGAAGCAGTCTGGACTTCCCAAGCCTTGGCACGGCCACAGAGGACAGCTAAATGCAAAAGTTCAGAATTCAGTTCAAAACATGAACATATCCTGCATATCAAGATGAAAATCACCAAGATGGATTTAAGATGACTGTTTGCAGCATTAGAAACAAGAAATCTTTTCTTATAATATATAAGAATAAGAGGAAATAAATTTAATCTTAAAACTGACAAAACCAAACAGAGGTAATATTTATTAAACCAAATTAGGCTACGGGGATCCCTGCCACAGCACAGCACGCTAACAGAAGTTCTGTATCAACCTTCAGTTATAGAAACATCCGGTTGAAATACTAGTTTGTTTTAATTTGGGGGGAGGAAGCTTATTATTTTTAGCATTTTCAGTGGATAATGTTCAAAAAACAATACTGGCATGCACGTGGCAGAGACAGTCTGCCACTTCTCCCTTCA